ACATTTAAAAAAATCAGCATGTATTTTAACAACTTTTTGTGACATGCTAACACATTTTTAGAATAATTATTGCATAGTAGAATGTATCACTCCAGAACAGAAAGGCCTAATTTCTTTTCAAATGAAATTACCTAATTTATTTTTTTTCTATTTCTTGGTAAAAACTGGTTTTATAAATTAAGAAGTAAAGTAGCTTCTTTATGTTAAAGATAACTATCTGAAAAGTAAACAATTCTGTTGAAATAACTTTACTAATATGCAGATTTTGCACTTTATTTTTGAGACCTCATTGATATAGTTATCTCAGAACTTTTAGGTGCTAAAAGAACTTCAGAAAGTTACTCCATAAATGTGTGCAAACTGAAAACAGACTCTGTATCTTTGGCGACAAAGAGGTAATGTCAATGTTTTCAACAGAAAATACCGACCTTGAGTCAAAACACAGACTCTGCCCCCACAGTGCCGCCACGCGATCATTGTAAACATCCTGGTGTCCAGTCTGGAGAGGCTTGCTGGGTGAAGAATATTAGACTTTACCACAGGTCCTGTTTTAGTTTTGAGAACTTAAATTTGGCCCTGTTGGGTTCTTTTACTTTGAAGCAGTAAGGTATCTCCCCTCCCCTCAGGAATAAACTTACTGAAAAGTTGAAAACTGTCACTGAATGGAATGTTCATTTTATGCCAGTTATTTCAAGTTTTAAAATACACAGAGACCTCTTTCTCTTTCCCTTCAAAGTGTTTTCTTCTTCTCCTTTTTTGGTCCTTACATGAAATAAAGACGCTAAAACTAATTTGTATATTACCAACCAGAGATGCGAGTGGCAGGTAAGCCAAGTGACATGGCTTTAAGATCAGGTGTTCTGCACATTCATTCCAAGGTTGTAGATTTTCAAAAGCATTTGGATTGGAGCAAATGGCAGATTATAAGCCATCTGAAGACCCAGTTTGGAAAACCTGTGTGTAGCCAATGTTTATATTGTGTCCTCCCTCAAGACACCCTGACACTGGACTCCATTCAGTGCGGTGTCAGTGTTTGGAGAAGGTCGGACATAGATTTTATGTTTTTATTGTTTGATTTGTACCCTCAGAAATAGACATTTCATCATGTAAAATTCCTCTTTTCTGGAAAAACCTATTGTTTTGACCTTCTCGAATTGTTTTCTGACTTGGAATTATCCTTTCAAAAAAGAGTTTTTAGGAGTTAAGAAATTTAGGTCTAAAAGGCACTTCATGAGAAGCTAAAGCTGACCCATTGGTTGAAAATGTCGACCCCATCCTATTATTTAAATGTGAACATTTATTGTACATTCAGTGAGTTATAGTGTTAATAGTCTTGTGCTACCCAGCAGGTGTAAAAATTAATAAATATTTTTTTTTAATAAACATGCTTCTTGTTTGTATGTGTGAAGCTACAAGAGTTATTGTGCCGGTTAAAAGATTTTCTTCCAAATATTACAACTTATGATTTCCAATCTGACATGTAGAAGCTTGGAAGTTTCCTCTCCATTCTAATAATAAGTAAAAGCTGAAAAAACTGAAAAATCAGCTCTTCTTTAGATCTGTCAGAGAAGTGAGCTCACAGGACAAACTGCTGCCCCCACAACTGGAGAGACAGACAAGGGAATACAGAGAGTTACAACTTAGAGAACAGAAACCCACAAGCAAAACCCACGGCCAGAAACCTCCGCAAGAACCAGTGCCAGAGCAGGGAAACCTGAACTGTAACTGGCAAATTGTCGCCTGCTCAGTGCGGACACGTCTGAGAGACAAAAACTGCAGAGGACCCACATTTTGTGCGTTTTACCCCTAGGAGCTCAGCCAGGTTCTTACAGTGAATATTGGAGAAAAATCTCCTCATGCTTCCAGCAGCAGATGGGGAAAAGGAACCATTTTGAAGTATACCAGAGCATTCTATTCTTCCTAATGAGGTATGTCCTCAGGAAAAACTACTTAACCAGTGCCTAACCTGCTGAAGTTCTAGAAGAGCCTCACTGACCTAGAGAAGGGGAAATACCCAACCGCAGCCCACTCTAGCCATCCTGTCCCACGTGAGGGGGAAGACTGAGCTTGTGAAGTTCGTAGTCCAGGGCCACAGGCTTACTAGAGGACGGAGACCTCCTATAGGACTGTAGAATGCTTCCTCTGCCCCCACACCTTACCACCACTTTACTAAAGGCCTACTTATAGTAATTCTTTTTACCTGGAACATCGTGTCTAGCTGTCAAGAAAAATTACAAGGCATACTAAGAGGCAAAAAACAAAGTTTGAAGAAAGAGAGCAAACATCAGGCCCAGTTTTAGATATGGCAGTGCAACACATGGTGGCTCATTGCCTGTAATCCCAGCACTTTGGGAGGCCATGGTAGGAGGATCACTTGAGCCAGGAGTTTGAGACCAGCCTGGGCAACACAGTGCGACCTTTTCCCTACAAAAACCAAAAAATTAGCTGGGTGTGGTGGCAAGTGCCTACAGTCCTAGCTACTCTGGAGGCTGAGGCATGAGGATCACTTGAGCCCAGGAGTTTGAGATTACAGTGAGCTATGATGATGCCACTGCACTGCAGCCCAGGCAACAGACTGAAACCCTGTCTCAAACAAAACCAAGAAATACATATGGCAGGGATTTTGGAATTCACAGACTGGGAATTTAAAACAACTGTGATTAATATGCTTAAAAGACTTTAATAGAGAAAGTAGACAACAAGCAAGAACAAATGAACAATGTAAGTAGAGAGATGGAAATTCTAAGAAAACAAATGCTAGAGATCAAAAATACTATAACAGAAATGAAGAATAGTTTGGTGAGTTTATTAATAGACTAGACATCTGAGGAAAGAATCTGAGCTTGAGGATATCTCAATATATCTGAAAACTGAAAGACAAACAGAAAACAGACTGGGCAGTGTGGTGGGGAACCAGAACAGAATAACCAAGAACTGTGAGACAATGAAACAGGTGTAAATATGCACAATGGGAGTACCAGGAGAAGAAAGAGAGAAAGGAACAGAAAAAATATTTGAAACAATGTTAGTTTCCCCAAATTAATGTCAAGCATGAAACCACAGATCCAGGAAGCTCAGAGGACAAAGAGGATAAATGCAAAAAAAAACACAACCAAACAAACACATACACACATACACAAATGCCAAAAACAAACGAACAAAAAAATCTGACTTTTCTTCAGAAACCGTGAATACAAGGAAAGAATGTAGTGAAATATTTAAAGGGTCGAGAGAGAGAGAGAGAGAGAGAGAGAGAGAGAGAGAGAGGGAGAGAGAGAGAGAATACCCAACCTAGAATGCTATACCTCGTGAAATTATCTTTCAAAAGTGAAGGGGAAGTGAGGACTTTCTCAACAAACAAAACGGGGAATTTATTGCCTATAGACCTGCCTTGCAAGCAGGTCTTGTTAAAAGTTAAAATGTTAAAAGAAGTTTTTCAGAGAAGGAAAGTAAGTCAGAACCTCAGATCTACATAAAGAAAGAGCTTCAGAGAATGAATAATTGAAGGTAAAAGAAAAACCTTAATTTTTCTTAATTGATGTAACACATGACAGTTCAAAATAATAGTAATGATATAT